CTAGTTGTTCCCGATTCTAGGGGCTCATCTCCATTTCAAAGCTGAAGAGCCAGTGCCGTCTGAAGATGTCTCCGTGGTCATGTGGCTGGCATGACTAAACGCCGAAGGCGCACGGAACGTTGTTATCTTCCCACTAAAGATGGTCCCTATTTTTCTACTTGCATTTTTTACGTGCTTTCGAACTGCTAGGTTGGCAGAAGCTGGGACAAGTAACGGGAGCTCACTCCATTACGCAGCGCTAGGGGTTTGAACCGCCGAACTGCCGACCTTTCTGATCGACAAGCTCAGCGTCTTAGACACTGAGCCACCGCGTCCCTTGTTTAATATAGCTAAGGAGCCATAAATAAATGACAGCTGGACATTGGGTCAGTTTCCAAGCGCCTGGATTGCAATCATGTAACCAAGGCAGTGCTGTGACAGTCATAAGAGCGAGGACGGTAAGAAGTCAGTTTTTCCGGTCCCGTCATAACTTTGAACTGTCACTAAATGAAATGTTGTTAAGTGAGGACTACAAGTAATACTTTTTAGTAAAGTAAAAAGGTTTGGGTAGCATTACTAGTCTCAAGTCATGTCCATACAACAGACGGCATTCCCTGTCCATTGCAATTCTCTCAAGGAAAAGAATTGGTAAGTTTTGGCCCATTTTGTTCAGCATGACAACAGGCCCAATCAAAGTTCAATTTCACCTAATCAGCATAATATTATACACATCTCTCAACTAGGAGATGCTGGCAGAATATGAATCTTTTGTTGTGTTTAAGCAGAAACAAAGAAAAGCTCTGAAAATTTTGGGACCACCACTCCAATAAATGACCAATTTGTTGGTCAATTTATTTTTTACTTATTTATTTGTAGCCCACCTTTATTTGTTTTTAGAAACAACCAAAGGTGGCAAACACATCTTCTTCCTCCTATTTTCCTCCCACAACAATATTGTGAGGTAGGTTGGGCCAAATAACTGGGCAGTCACCCAGCTGGCTTTCATGGCTAAAGCTGGACTTGAATTCACGGTCTCCTGCTTTCTAGCCTGGTGCCTTAACCACTAGACCAGGAGTCGGCAACCTGCGGCTCTGGAGCCACAGGTGGCTCTTTCATCCCTCTGCTGTGGCTTCCTGTCTCCGGTCGGCTCCATAATGGATAGGGCTTTTGGTTAGGATAGGTAAGAGGAAAAAGGACGCCACGCTAGGAGGAAACTCTACGGTGGGGGAACCGGATTTCCAGTCAGCTTCAGAATTGAACAGGGGTCTTCCGGTTAGGACCTTTGTTGCTCTTTAAGTGTTTAAGGTTGCCGACCCCTGCAGTAAACCATACTGACTGTCTTATGAAAGAATAACTTCTTAGCAATGGGAAGCTTCCCGTGTACTTTTGCTGGCTTGAGTCAGGCTGATTTGGAATCTGTGATCCACATAGTTTGCCCCATTTCTTTTACCCAAACCTGGAACTTGGTGGCATGTCAGCTAACTGCCTCCTTTTCAAAACTGCTCTCTTTCCCTTGCCTCCCCTTCCCCTGATCTTCAGAGAAACGGCTTTGAACAATTCTGCATTAACTTTGTGAATGAAAAACTTCAACAGATCTTCATTGAATTGACACTCAAAGCAGAGCAGGTGAGTTTGGTGTGGGAGAAGGTACAGATCCCTCTGAGGGTGGGCTGTGGATTCTGTGGCTAGGTCTCCAACTGGCCACTTGTGACACAACCTATCCTAACCTGGACATGGATCTATATCTCCAGTTTAGGATGTTTGGGAATAGCATCTCCATGAATTCCTAGAAGGTTGACTGGGAACTCCAGGAGTTTTAGTTCCACCATATCAGGTTCAGGGAAATTGCCCTAGTCCAGGGGTCAGCAACCCGTGGCTCTAGAGCCGCATGTGGCCTCTTTTATCCCTCTGCTGTGGCTCCCTGTTGCCAGTCGGCACCACAATTTTGAGAGGAGCTTCTGGTTAGGGGTGGGGGAAGCAGGGCACGCCAGGAGGAGACTCTATGGCAAAGGATGGGTTTTACAGTCAGCTTCACAATTGATAGGGGGAAAAGAACGTCATGCTAGGAGGAGACTCTATGGTGGGTAAACGGGACTTTCGACCGGCTCCAGAATTGAATGGGGGGGGGGCTTCCGGTTAGGACCTTTGTGGCTCTTTGAGTATTTAAAGTTGCCGACCCCTGCCCTAGTCCTAGGCTGCATTAACAGAACCAAGATCATGTGAAATGTTAGTACCACTTTATAATGCTTTAGTAAGACCACACTTGAAATATCGCATTCAGTTTTGGTCTCCATGACATAAAGATGTGGAGACTCTAGAAAGAGTGCAGAGAAGAGCAAGAAAGTTGATCGGGGGACTGGAGGCTAAAACATATGAAGAACGGTTGCAGGAATTGGGTAAATCTTATCTAAACAAAAGAAGGACTCGGGGTGACATGATAGCAGTGTTCCAGTATCTCAGGGGCTGCCACAAAGAAGAGGGGCGTCAACCTATTCTCCAAAGCACTTGAAGGCAGAACAAGAAGCAACGGATGGGAATTTAACAAGGAGAGAAGAAACCTAGAACTAGGGAGAAATTTCCTGGCAATTAGAACAATTAGTGGAACCACTTGCCTCCAGAAGTCATGGTTGCTCTGTCACTGGAGGGTTTAAGAATCGATTGGACAACTATTTGTCTGAAATGGTATGGGGTCTCCTGCTTGAGCAAGGGGTTAGACTATAAGACCTCCAAAATCCTTTCCAACTCTGTTATTCTGTTCTGATCTGTGAGCTGCAGATTATCAGATCCAAAAGGGTATTCGTAACTAGACAGGTACAGAATGGTATTCTTCACTAGGTCCTCATTATTATTATTTTTTTACTGTTCTTTCAATGTGCATTAATTGCTTCTTTAAAAGCCATCTCTCCTCTTGCCCCAGGAAGAGTATGTGCAGGAAGGCATCAAATGGACTCCAATTGAATATTTCAACAACAAAGTTGTGTGTGATCTCATTGAAAACAAAGTGGTAAGGGAAGGGGCTGAGGAGGAGGAGGTTGTGGATTCGCTGAGGCGTGTGGGTTGAGCTGGGGATGGTACAGGGATGGATTGCTGCCGGGGTTGCGCCAGACATACACATGTGCACTGTGGCACGACAAAACCGCACTCGACTAAAGCGCGCCCGATTAAATCGCGTTGCTGACATCATCAACAGGGCGACAACAGCGAGCGCGGAGAAAGAAGGGCGCTTTAAATAGCACTTTGAAAGCAAGCTGATTCAAGTTAAGGTAAGGGTTAGGGTTAGGGTTAGGTTAGGTTTAGGGTTAGGTTTAGGGTTAGGTTT